TGATTCCTGGCACTGTACTGACATCCACTCCATTTTCAAAGGCATTCATAAATGATCTGTACTGTAAAGGGTCTCCATCAAACACAGGGATGTTTCTGGCGGGAGGACAGAAGATAAGTTTTGTTTTACAAGCAAAGTAGTGATGTCATTTTGTTTTTGCATAATATTTACAATCTCCTTCGTGCAATTCCCAGTCAAAGTAGGAGACTGAGGCTGTGTTTGCTGCATCACTTGAGCTGAATCATCAACCTGATGTTGGGTTTGACTTTGTCTAGGTACGATTACTTGTGATTCAGATGCAGAATTTATACCAGAGTAATCTCTTGATGTTGGAACAAATGTATCGGCACAAGGATTTAAACTAGGCGCTTCTTGTACGTGCCCTCTTTCAAAATAAGAGTTCATTCCATCAGAATGCTCAGAGCTACAAACTGAATTTATTTTTAAGACACGAAGCTTTGCATTAGTTGCTGCCAGCTCTGTTTCCAAGGATAATGTCTCCTTTTCTTTTCTCAGTTTTCCTCTTGCGCTTCGATAGAATGTTTTTTCTTTAATGCAGCGAGTCGATCCATGAGCGCTGCCTTGTCAGCCGCAGCTTTAATGCATGTGGAAGATGTTGATGAAATTCGACTTTGCTGTGACAAGGTTTTTGAAGGTGGTTTTAAACTTGAGATATTAGAGACACTGTCTTCAGGTTTTATTTCATACAAACTCTCAACAGCTTTATCATTACGAACAGTATTGCTTTGTTCAGTATACGGCTCACCCGCCTCCTGCAACCAAACCTTTACTTTGTCCATAAAAACAGAGAATGCTGTCACCTTCGACTGAAAATGTGCATTTTGCCTTTTCACTTCATCTTCTGGCAGTGGCAAACTTAAAAAGGATTCTTGCAAAACGTTTGCATCTTGATAGCATTTAATAAAACTTCCCAAATTCAGAAGACACTTCCTTAACGTTCTCATATGAGGTCATTAAAGCGGAAATTTTCCCCATGTACTTAGATGCTTGCTTACACATTGAACTGCGCTTTTCTTGGCATGTCTTTATATACAAATCCAAACCTTTTGGCGTAAATTTAATGCTTCTTTTCTCTGCTTGCATCTCAGTGTCATCCTCTCGTTTACTCTTAATATCCGACATTTCTATTGTCCTCTTGGATTATTTCAAACTTTATAAAGATGCACAGCACATTGAGAATCCATAGCCTAAAGTACAAACATGACATCCATTTACCTGCCTTTTGCAGCGGACAAACATTTCCACAGAGGGCGTTGGCATGTTTCAATTAACGATCCAATTTTGCACCAATTTAGTACGTCAAAACTCAGTTCATCCGCCTTTGTAGTGAAATAATGTCTTTAAACTCCAATAGCTTCACCGTTTTCCTTTACGGCTTAAACAATATTATCACTCACCAGTTTTGATGAACAAGTGACATGTTGATCCAGGCCTCAACATCAAATCCGTCTGGATTACTCACCAGACGATCCAATAACTTTTATTCGAGTTCGACAGTGATCCTTGAAATCCTTATATCCATTAATGAAGGATTATTCCTTTGTCCACGGGAAGGTTTTTACTTTGTGTAGTGGCAATTCCTTTACTTTTGAGAGATCAAACGTCCCACAACTTAAAGTCCACAAGCCACTGCTGCACTGAGGTAATATTTCGTACGCAGGCAAAAGATGTCCATTGTCCAAACCTTTTAGTTGAAAGTTTTGGTTTTGGTTTATTTATCCATCTTGGCAAGCAGGGTTATGAAACGTTGGCCTTTCATGGTTTTCAATAAACAGCCCACATACCTGTAAAATAACAACACCCCAGTAAAAGTCCACATATATAAAGGGTCTACACTCTTTCTCACTGGTGTGTTAGCTTTAAAATCTTATTTACCTTCAAGAGTAAAACTCCAGATGGTAGTAGATTTTCCAAAGCGAGAGACAAAAATGGCGGACAGTGCAGCCGATTTTTCCTTTCCAGGGGCGGAGCTTGAGGATAAAAAACGACTAACTTGTTTCTTTTCAACATGATTTGTTCTAAAAGAATGAATATTCTTAAAGAATATGTGAAAATTAAAAGACAAAAATATGTTTAGATGTGAAATTTAAATTAGTCATGCTGGATATATGAAGTAATTCTATGCAAATTCAACAACCACCCTATTGCATTTTTTCAGTATACAGGGAGTGCAGAATTATTAGGCAAGTTGTATTTTGAGGAATAATGTTATTATTGAACAACAACCATGTTCTCAATGAACCCAAAAAACTCATTAATATCAAAGCTGAATGTTTTTGGAAGTAGTTTCTAGTTTGTTTTTAGTTTTAGCTATTTTAGGGGGATATCTGTGTGTGCAGGTGACTATTACTGTGCATAATTATTAGGCAACTTAACAAAAAACAAATATATACCCATTTCAATTATTTATTTTTACCAGTGAAACCAATATAACATCTCCACATTCACAAATATACATTTCTGACATTCAAAAACAAAGCAAAAACAAATCAGCGACCAATATAGCCACCTTTCTTTGCAAGGACACTCAAAAGCCTGCCATCCATGGATTCTGTCAGTGTTTTGATCTGTTCACCATCAACATTGCGTGCAGCAGCAACCACAGCCTCCCAGACACTGTTCAGAGAGGTGTACTGTTTTCCCTCCTTGTAAATCTCACATTTGATGATGGACCACAGGTTCTCAACGGGGTTCAGATCAGGTGAACAAGGAGGCCATGTCATTAGCTTTTCTTCTTTTATACCCTTTCTTGCCAGCCACGCTGTGGAGTACTTGGACACGTGTGATGGAGCATTGTCCTGCATGAAAATCATGTTTTTCTTGAAGGATGCAGACTTCTTCCTGTACCACTGCTTGAAGAAGGTGTCTTCCAGAAACTGGCAGTAGGACTGGGAGTTGAGCTTGACTCCATCCTCAACCCGAAAAGGCCCCACAAGCTCATCTTTGATGATACCAGCCCAAACCAGTACTCCACCTCCACCTTGCTGGCGTCTGAGTCGGACTGGAGCTCTCTGCCCTTTACCAATCCAGCCACGGGCCCATCCATCTGGCCCATCAAGACTCACTCTCATTTCATCAGTCCATAGAACCTTAGAAAAACCAGTCTTGAGATATTTCTTGGCCCAGTCTTGACGTTTCAGCTTGTGTGTCTTGTTCAGTGGTGGTCGTCTTTCAGCCTTTCTTACCTTGGCCATGTCTCTGAGTATTGCACACCTTGTGCTTTTGGGCACTCCAGTGATGTTGCAGCTCTGAAATATGGCCAAACTGGTGGCAAGTGGCATCTTGGCAGCTGCACGCTTGACTTTTCTCAGTTCATGGGCAGTTATTTGGCGCCTTGGTTTTTCCACACGCTTCTTGCGACCCTGTTGACTATTTTGAATGAAACGCTTGATTGTTCGATGATCACGCTTCAGAAGCTTTGCAATTTTGAGACTGCTGCATCCCTCTGCAAGATCTCTCACTATTTCTGACTTTTCTGAGCCTGTCAGGTCCTTCTTTTGACCCATTTTGCCAAAGGAAAGGACGTTGCCTAATAATTATGCACACCTGATATAGGGTGTTGATGTCATTAGACCACACCCCTTCTCATTACAGAGATGCACATCACCTAATATGCTTAATTGGTAGAAGGCTTTCGAGCCTATACAGCTTGGAGTAAGACAACATGCATGAAGAGGATGATGTGGACAAAATACTCATTTGCCTAATAATTCTGCACTCCCTGTACATTAGAGCATGACCTAGACAACCGGGACCTGGAATGCCCAAACGCAACTAGCCCTCAGATTCAAAACAATGTGTGAAAAGCTAATTTCTTCCAGAGGGTTGATTAACTGATGCAAGTGTTAGAATCTCTATAAGTACCTCCATCAGCAGGCGTTTTGGCAGTTTGCATGTGTGGACCACTAAGGTGTGTGTATTTACACAATGCTGCAGGGATCTTTCCAGGAGGGAGATCCCACTAAACTCACCCAAGGTCAGACATGCTAAGACAAACTGTGAAAGAAACCCAAGAGTTCCATCTCTCACTTATGTCTTAGTTAACGTGGTAAAGATTAAAGTTCATGAAGTTCAAGCTCAGCATGAACACCTCATCTTAACTGTCAGCATGGTGATGGGGGATGACGATTTAGGCACTTTGCAGGCACTAAGTGGAGCATGAACTAAAATCTAAAATCCTTTAATTTTACTCATTTTACACCACAAAATTATGGAATGTTTTTACAGAGTTTCCTTAAAAGACATATTTTAAATATTAATTCAAGTAAACCCTTAATGAGTCCAGCCAATATCTTACCTATATCCTTGTTTCTTCATCTTTTTGGGCCATCTGTGGTCACTCTGATAAACTGCTCTTTGCTCTCGGGCTGTCTTAAGCTGTTTTAATCAGAGTTTTTTCAAACCACTGTTGAAAGAAAAACAATCCTGGACCTGTTATTAACCACAAGCTTTTGACCCATTTCAATAGCTTATAGCCACATATTAGAAAGGCTTTTTGGGACAAAATTAGGGAAAGTGTTGGAGACACACAATATTCCTGATAACTTTTTAAAAGATTTTAAGAAGTTACACTCCATGAAGACACGTCTCCTTAAAGTCTAAAATGACCATTTAATGGCTACAGATTAGGGTGTCTCACCAGTCCTTGTTTTGCTGGATCTCAGCTCGGGTTTCGACCAACTGTACCTCTTCTTTAAACCATAGGAATTTGATAAAGTGTCCATTGATTCCCAATTAAAGGTTGGATCTGTGGAACAGTTTACCAGTCTTTCTCGTCACCCCTATGACTCTAGTATCCTTTAAAACAGCTTTAAAATGATCTCTTCAGACAGGAATTTAGTTGTGTGTTCATTTCAGCTTTAAAAAAAACCCCAAAACATCTGTAAATGTGTTTTTTTAGTTTACGGTCAGTGTGTCTGGATGACTCAGTCTGTCTATTGAGTGAATAAACATCTCTCTTTTTTCTCTCTCATTCACAGGCCCTGCTGAGGTCACTTATGGCCAAGTTGAAATCAGATCTCAGAGACCTGCTGGCAGGAATAAAGGTAACCACAACAAAAATAACCACCCACACATATAGCACAGGATCCATTTTTTGTAATTTTGGCTCTTTTGGAGCAGTTTTTAGATTGGTTGGTTGAAACCTTCAAAGGACCAAATGTTTTCATTGTAAACATGATTAAAGAAGATTGATGATGGACTTTTTACAGTCTCAGCAAACCATGTTTGTTGTCTTATATTTAGAGGAATTGGGAGCATTTCAGATAGAGAAAGTAATGATTGCAATACTTTTGTTGCCTTGATCATTATTATTATTATTATTATTATTATTATTATTATTATTTTACAGAGGTGTTTGGTCCGGAGGAAGCAATTCACAAAATTCATTAACACTACATTAGTAACAATTTGGGATTTCCTGTTACTGATATCAGTTCAATTCAATTTTCAATTCAATTCAATTTTATTTATATAGTGCCAAATTACAACAACAATTGCCTCACGGCACTTTATATTGCACAGTAGATCGTACAATAATAGATACAGAAAAAAACTCAACAACCACAGGGTTCAGTGCTAGGACCAATTCTGTTTACATTATACATGCTTCCCTTAGGCAGCATCATTAGAAGACATAGCATACATTTTCACTGCTATACAGATGACACCCAGCTCTATCTGTCCATGAAGCCAGATAACACACACCAGTTAGTTAAACTGCAGGAATGTCTTAAAGACATAAAGACCTGGATGGTCGCTAACTTTCTGCTTCTTAATTCAGATAAAACTGAGGTTATTGTACTCGGCCCTGAAAATCTTAGAGATATGGTATCTAAGCAGATTCTTACTGTGGATGGCATTACCTTGGCCTCCAGTTGTTGGGTTTATCTAGGCACAAACCCCGCTGGAACACAAGACCAACTAACTGCACGACAAAACAAGGCAAGACAGAGCTCTTTGTCTTTTTTGGCTCGCGAGGGAAGTCATTCAAAGTTGAGGAAAAGATTCCTTCACCTGAACTCAACCAACTTCAACTATTTCCTTCGCTACAGCCCTTTTTATTGTCAGCAAGCAATCATTCATGAATATGCAAATACAAATACATTTGACACTCTTAAGCAACATCAGTGTCTATATTCTGTGTGTGTGTGTGTGTGTGTGTGTGTGTGTGTGTGTGTGTGTGTGTGTGTGTGTGTGTGTGTGTGTAGTTGCATGTATGTGTGTGTGTTTCCAGCTATACCATACATAGACATACGACCTTTCAATGAACTTAAATTGTATGCAGAAAAGCAGAAGTAACGTCTTGCTAAAATATAAAAACATGAACTTCCAATAGGACATTTAAAAGTGTGAAGTCTTACACTTTGAGATAACGAACAAGACAGTATGGTTTTGTGGTCGCAAATTTTGAAGACATCCTGATAACCTTCTCCCACCAACGATGTGGAGACCCAACTTCTTTAGAGCCAATTAAAATCAACACACTCAAAAAGATGCTCTGGAAAAGAGTAGAATTCGTGGAACAGAGTTTAATACACTGAATCATATGAACAGCAGGAAAAATACATATAGACATTTAGCAAGAGAATTACAAAGCAGAACGCAAGCAAAGCAAAACCCCGGGGTGTACAGCCTTAAGCACAGACAGCAGAGCAACACAGAGACGGACAGGAAGCAGCAGCAGGAGGAAAAGAGCGCTGGGGGTGTCCTCTGGTCCTCTAATATACAGGGACCAGTATCCCCGCCCACTGCTGCTGGCTAACTTTCCCATGCGCCCAAACACAGCTGCAGGGGTCAGGTAGCGGCCAAGGTCTTGGCCAAAGGCCAGTCAGGACTCCGGCTACCCCTGCTCTGGCTTATCACAGTAGGTAATGACACGGTCAAACATCACACATTAATCCTAATTATTAAATGTTATACAGCAAATGGCACAATCTTACAACATATAATCCTTTAACTACATAGGTTACATGCTTTCTCATATATAAAAACACTTCAGTGTGGGTTCAAAGTATGTGTGTGTGATTATATCGCCATCCATCCATCCATCCATCCATCTTCATCCGCTTTATCCGAGGCCGGGTCGCGGGGGCAGCAGCCTAAGCAAAGAGGCCCAGACCTCCCTCTCCCCAGCCACCTCCTCCAGCTTATCCGGGGGAATACCAAGGCGTTCCCAGGCCAGCCGAGAGATATAATCTCTCCAGCGTGTCCTGGGTCTGCCCCGGGGCCTCCTCCCGGTGGGACATGCCTGGAACACCTCACCCAGGAGGCGCCCAGGAGGCATCCTTGTCAGATGCCCGAACCACCTCAGCTGACTCCTTTCAATGTGGAGCAGCAGCTGCTCTACTCTGAGCCCCTCCCGGATGGCCGAACTTCTCACCCTATCTCTAAGGGAGAGGCCAGCCACCCTTCGGAGGAAGCTCATTTCTGCCGCTTGTATCCGCGATCTCGTTCGTTCGGTCACTACCCATAGCTCGTGGCCATAGGTGAGGGTAGGGACGTAGATCGACCGGTAAATTGAGAGCTTCGCTTTTACACTCAGCTCCCTCTTCACCACGACGGACCGGTGCAGCGTCCGCATTACTGCAGCTGCAGCCCCAATCCGTCTGTCAATCTCCGGCTCCCTTCTCCCATCACTCGCGAACAAGACCCCGAGATACTTGAACTCCTCCACTTGGGGCAGGAACTCATCCCCGACCCGGAGTGGGCACTCCACCCTTTTCCGGCTGAGAACCATGGCCTCAGATTTGGAGGTGCTGATCCTCATTCCCGCTGCTTCACACTCAGCTGCGAACCGTTCCAGTGCGAGCTGGAGGCCCTCACCCGATGAAGCCAACAGAACCACATCATCCGCAAAAATCAGAGATGAGATTCTGAGGCCACCAAAGCGAAAGCCCTCCGCCACTTGGCTGCGCCTAGAAATCCTGTCCATAAAAATTATGAACAGAACCGGAGACAAAGGGCAGCCCTGGCGGAGCCCATCACCCACCGGGAACGAGTCCGACTTATTGCCGGCAATGCGAACCAAGCTCTTGCAACGGTTGTATAGGGATCGAATGGCCCGTAGCAATGGGCCAGACACCCCATACTCCCGCAACACCTCCCACAGGACACCCCGAGGGACACGGTCGAATGCCTTCTCCAAGTCCACAAAACACATGTAGACTGGTTGGGCAAACTCCCATGCACCCTCAAGTATCCTCGAGAGGATAAAGAGCTGGTCCAGTGTTCCGCGACCAGGACGAAAACCGCATTGTTCCTCCTGTATCCGAGGTTCGACTAGCGGACGAACTCTCCTTTCCAGCACCCTGGCATAGACTTTCCCAGGGAGGCTGAGGAGTGTGATCCCCCTGTAGTTGGAACACACTCTCCGGTCCCCCTTCTTAAAGATGGGGACCACCACCCCGGTCTGCCAGTCCACAGGTACTGCCCCTGATCTCCACGCAACATTGCAAAGGCGTGTCAACCAGGACAGCCCTACAACGTCCAGAGCCTTCAGGAACTCGGGGCGGACCTCATCAACACCAGGGGCTCTGCCACCAAGGAGTTGTTTAACTGCCTGAGTGACCTCGCCCCCGGAAATTGGCGGGTCATTCCCCTCATCCCCAGACCAGGTCTGTCCAGTGTCCTCCCCCGCCACCTGATCCAACTCACCACCAGGTGGTGATCAGTTGACAGCTCAGCCCCTCTCTTTACCCGAGTGTCCAGAACATATGGTCGCAGGTCTGGTGATACGATTACAAAATCGATCATCGACCTACGGCCTAGAGTGTCCTGGTGCCACGTGCACTTATGGACACTCTTATGTTCGAACAGGGTGTTCGTTATGGCCAAACTGTGATTAGCACAGAAGTCCAATAACAAAGCACCGCTCGGGTTCAGATCAGGGAGGCCGTTCCTCCCAATCACGCCCCTCCAGGTCTCGCTGTCGTTACCCACGTGAGCATTGAAGTCTCCCAGCAGGACAACAGAGTCTAAAGGTGGAGCACCTTCCAGCACCCCCCCCCCCCCCCCAGGGACTCTAAGAAGGCTGGGTACTCTGAACTGCCACTCGGCGCATAAGCGCAGATGACAGTAAGGACCCGTTCCCCGACCCTAAGGCGCAGGGAACAAACCCTCTCGTCCACCGGGAAAAACCCCAACGTACTGGCAGCAAGCCGAGGGGATATTAGAATACCCACCCCAGCCCGCCGCCTCTCACCAGGGGCAACTCCAGACTGAGACAGAGTCCAGCCCCTCTCCAGGAGACTGGTTCCAGAGCCCAAGCCATGCGTAGAGGTGAGCCCGACTATATCTAGCCGGTACCTCTCAACCTCACGCACTAACTCAGGCTCCTTCCCCACCAGAGAGGTGACATTCCATGTCCCTATTGCCAGTCTTGGCAGCCGGGGGTCAGTCCGCCAGGGCCTCCGCTCCTGGCCGCCACCCGACACACAATGCACCCGACCCCTATGGTGCCTCCTGCGGGTGGTGGGCCTGCGGGAGGATGGGCCATGTCTCCTCTTCGGGCTGTGCCCGGCCGGGCCCCATGGATTAAGGCCCGGCCACCAGACGCTCGCCCTCGGGCACCCTCCCCGGGCCTGGCTCCAGGGCGGGGCCCCGGTAACCCTGTCCCGGGCAGGGTAAACTGTTCCTCGATGTCCTTTTCATAAGGGTCTTCTGAATCGCTCTTTGTCTGGTCCCTCACCCAGGACCAATTTGCCATGGGAGACCCTACCAGGGGGCAAAAGCCCCCAGACAACATAGCCCCTGGGATCCTTGGGACACACAAACCCCTCCACCACGATAAGGTAGCGATTCAAGGAGGAGAGATTATATCGCATGATATTTTATTGTGATGTGTTCAGGATCAATGTTACTGTTTTGGTTGTGCTGCATGAAAGACGTTGAGTGTGTATTAGGGAAGGTTAGTTAGCTGGAGAGTGAGTTATGGAGGAGAACTCTCCCCTTGCATTAACGGCCCTGTTACTGTACCACCTTAATAAACCTCGGTGAAGCAACATGTCGTGTGCTTAAAACTCTACATGAAAGTTATAATATATAT